TCTTTTCTGAACATCAGTGGCACATACCATTACGGCATTTGCAGGATCCATCCTTTTTGTTGCAAATACCATTCTCCCCACATTGGCACTTGAAGGCGCAGTCCAAACCGAAATGACCGTCCGGGCAATCGTCGGCGCACCTGAAAAAGGATAGTATCAGGAATAGTAAGGACGAAGATAAAATCGAAGAGATTCTTAAGAGGACTTCCTAAATGAAATGCTTTAGGTTATATTCACCTACGAGTTTTTTATACAATGTCATAGAGAGAGAAAGAAATTTTTTTCGAAGAAGAATTAATGAAATTTCACTTTTTCGGCAAGAAAGAGGGCTAGTAAATGATTCTCCACCACAAACTGCTGAGAAGGGGATTATGGCGTCTTGAGAGACAATGAGTAGGAAAGTGGTGGAGCTGGGATGATTTCATGAATTACCTAATACAAGTAAGTATGACCCTTGCATCTTTATGCCGCCATCTAATACTGATTACTGGTTTTCCTTCACCGTAGTCCCTACTCCCTATATACCGATGGAACCTTCGAAAAATCCGCCCTCCTCTTCACCTCCAAAGACCACCTGACAAAAGAGCTTTATTCTTTTGCCTTTACACCTTATTTTTCTCCGAAATACTCACTTTTTTCTACGATTTCTGCCTAACGAATTCATAAATGGTAAAATGGTATACGAAATGACACTGAAACGGGAAGTAGTTTTTCAAAATCTCGCCCCTCATGTGATGACCAGCTTGCGAATGGGAAAAAAACCCACTTTGCTCCCGTTCGACCTGGCAAACAAACGCATCTACCGCTTGTTGGCTCACACTCCGACGTCACGTTGTAGTCGCATTCGCATTTGTTCGCACAGTCTCGACCTGAATAGGAAGGAGGACTGTAGTACGATGACCAATCTATGTGCTTTTTCTTCGAAAGCTGAGAATGGTAAACAGTAAGTCATCAGTGCTATAAGAAATGTCAAACCGACCACTAAAACATTAATCAGTCTGATATCAGTTTATTTACTAAACCAAGTGGTCGATTAATAACCCTTTCTTAATTTCTAATGAGCGCTATCCCTGATGAGTCCTCGGCTCTCTTCCCCGAAGCCTACGTAGCGCGTCAGCATTGAAGGAGTTGTTCTGGTGAGATTCTAGACGAGAAGGGTGTTACCCCTCATATAAGCAGTTGGTTCAGGACAAATTTTTTTTTATCTGATGATGAGTTGGATGAGCTATAAACTTGATTAATGATCAAGTAAGTTATAAGTTAATTATTAATCCTAATTAATCTGACAGCAAAAGGGAGTGGTGAATAGACGCGTAGAACTACCCCTTTTCCAGAGAAATCTCTAAGATTTTTGTGAATAGATTGGAAACGGGAAAAATAAAGGTGTAACTCCAAGCTAAACATCGCAATGTTTGTAAAATGAATGAGAAAGCTCTCGAAGCATAAAACGTACCCCAGAATAGTTTAGAACAAACGCGTTCGCATGAATCTCCAGCAAAACCAGGTTTACATCGGCAATAGCCGGTGTCTGGAGCACATCTGAAATCGATGAGAATGTATTGTCTCAAAATTTTGATAGGTAGCAATAACAAGTACTACTTACGATTCGGTATTCTCCATGATGCATGTGCATTGTTTTGAGCAGTCTTGTCCATACATATCCTCGTCGCAAACTGAAACATTCATCTTCACCATTCCATATTTTAGCGCTTTGAAAAATCGACAAACACCGACTCTACAATAACATCTGGGTGGCTCAGCCCAAAGTGCACCTACAGAGTCCCTATCCCAATTCCAAATTCCCTATGCATAGTAAGAAACCCTCCTAAAAAGTGAAAGAGAGCGAGCTACGATGCTCACTAACTTTTTTCTTGCAAATTACAAAGAGTAGATTTATATTCCCACAAAATTATCTTTTTTCACGGTTTCCTATGCTGCTGTGCTCTACCATGCCTCCACCTGAGTACTCTCATTTGATGATCCTAGCTTATTGCAAAACCGCGATTCCCTCCCAAGTCCGAGGGACTCTCGACACTTCATTTATTTACCAATCCGAACTCTAATAGCCGACAGTGCAAAAATCCAAACCGGAAGTTTACCTCGTTGTTTACAGTCGGGACCTTTATATCCTCGTTCGCATTTGCAGGCACCAGTCACGGGATCGCATGCTGCATTTGAATCCGTCCATGAGATGCCATTACAAAGCTCACATTTCTTGGAACACTGTAATGACGAAAGGTCATTCGACGAAGCGTAACGGCTGGATGCGATGATCGAAGGCTTCACAAAGTTTCACACCCCAAAGCACCCCTCTTTAAACAGTCATTCAGGTACTCGATTCGCGAAATAAACGAGTAAATCGATAAAGTGGTACCAGAAAGATCGAGAATAGGGCACTATTTACTCTTGACTGCCCCACTCTGTCGAGAAAGGGCTGGATTCCTATCGAATTTTTTCAAAGAAGACGAAACCGGCTAGAAACTTGCCTAGATGGGTAATTTGACCCGTAAAATACGAATATCGCATCCACTCATCATGAAAACGCCTGGGACACTAGTTAGGGGCAAGTTTTCAGCAGGATCGGTGGCCCAGCGTTTCGGCGCAGGCGCTTAAAGCGCAAGCGCTAGGCATCTTTATGACGGATGGATGCAATATTCGTGTTCTCTAGGTCAAATTACCCCCGTAGCCAAATTTTTAGCCGGTTCCATCTTCTTTGAAAAAATTCGGTAGAAATCCGGCCCATTCTCGACAAGGTGGGGCAGTAAAGGGTAAATAGTGCCGAAAATAGTTACAAGAAAAGCTATTCGACCGAATTCGATGACTATAAACTCTTCAAGACTCACCATCGGTCCATAATAGCCTCTCGGACATCCTCGTTCGCATTTCTCTCCCATCCACCCAACACAAAGACATTTTCCTGTCACCGAGTCGCATTTGTTGTTGTTCAGACAATCGCATAGTTTCGAACAGTTCTTGCCGAAGAAACCTAGTGGGCAACGGTCATCGCAGGTAGGTCCCTGAAATGAATCCATTCCTGGAGATTCCGCTGTTAACAGTAGATTCAACAACTTCAATCCAAGCTGTTCCCATTTGGTCTTAATTTGATTCTTTTGTCTCTCACTAAAGCTATTTGGGGCGGCGGTGATGTAGTGACAAGTGGCGCAGTATCACACACATGTGGTCACGGGTTGGGTAATAATACCAAGGGTCACACGTTTGGTATCTAACGATTTTTGACATTCTGACATCTTCAGGAGCATTTTTGACCATTTTAGCAAGCAGCTATCGTGAGCCAGTGAAAAAGCAGAGATGCGGTGAGGTTGCTGACCCAGACAGATCCGAATGCCGTCCAACTTTATGTTTAGCGAAGAAAAGATGATCAAAACTATAGCATCCGGGGATACGGGCAGTAGGAACGATTTTGTGTATTCGATCCGCCGCATGCGGCTATCGCGGACCATTTGCCTCTTTATTGCGGTTCTAGCGTTCTTCATGCAGCTCAATCGTTATGCAATTATCATTTTTGGCATGGTTCTACGATTACTTCTTTTGTTGTTGTATTTTTACTTGCTGCTGCATTCTGCCACATACCTTCGCGCGGCTTCCCTCTCGCCGCAACGCGACAGTTTCGTTCCTACTGCACTACATCCAGGCGTTCGCCAGAACCGTTTGAATATCGCCAAGCCAACTGTGCTTTTTATCCCTTCGAAATGATGTCTCGATTCCTTTGCTAGGAAAAACAAGAATAATGGGGGGAGAGGGAGGGGTGGGGGATCACGTGCTATCCTCCACATGTGATCGGCCATCCACTATACAGCCGCCATTTTAATCGTTTTTCTATCACCCATAATCAAATGACGCGTCACCCAAAAGGGGTTAATCGTTGATGTACGCTGTATTTGTCGCCACCGTTTTTCACTTTTGACGCCTTATTTTTAAGGCGCTCCTAGCCGTCAGACTTTTGGATTTCAACCTTGATAAGCAAAGTGAAATTGGAAAAAGCATCTTTGTCCAAGTCATGGGAAGATGACGTGATATGGTAAAATTTGAAAACTGATGTCAAAAAGTGAAAATGAAAGTCCACTTTTTTGGAAAGGGCAAATTTTCGGAAGTGATTTCTTGAGGTATTTTGAACAGCTGAATTGATTTTTTTGTATAGTGAAGTTAAATTTTAACTTATCCATAATACTAATTTTCAAACATACATTCCCCAAGGAGATAACACTCACAGTGAATCCAGCTGCACAGATACATCGACCGTTGACGGCATCACAGGTGGCTCCATTTTTACAGTTACATTCGAATTTACAATTTGCACCAAATTTGCCTTCATCACATTTTCGAAGACAAAACTCCCCAGCAAATCCATCAAGGCATTCACATTTCCCGTTGGGATCACATCTAAAATGGAAAAAAAATTAAATGGAAGTAGTGCGATATGTGAGCGCCCGTCCATTGTGCGCACAAATAAATTAATTAATTTGAATTTCCGAAGAAAAATGTTAAAAACTGCTAAACAAAAAGCCAAAAATGCCGAAGGTATTATCATGGGAGATATGAGAATGATGAAGAGACAAGGACAAATGGCTGAGTGGGTCTAAGAAAAAAATGTAAAACATACAGAACCACCATTAGCAAAAAAAATTAGTAAGCGAGGTTACAGAAGTGTGCTTCAACATCACCCAG